CCCGAGAAATCGAACGGAAGTTGATGGATGCCGAGGTTAACCTACACTTCCGTTTGATCATTTATTCTGCCGATACAAGCAAAACTGTCGTTGGCAACAAAAAAGAACGTCTGGCAATATCTAATAATTACAGTGATCGCTCTATCGAAGGCTCATCTAAATAACGGAAATGAATTCTACTTGACATATAATGTGTGTCATTAAAACACCTGACGATATCGATGTTAATTATTTTTACATCATCGCATAGAAAGTCCTTAATATGTTATGTTTTTAGAGAAATTTTCCTAATTTAGTAACCCGTGTTTTGTCGCGAATGTTTTAAAACATTCGAAAAATAAAAAAACGTAAACTGATAGTATTTTTATAGATACATATGTACATATGTATAACAGGGTGTTCACGATATGAGCCAGCGTTTTTTTCGCAAATCGTATTAAAAAAAATGAAACAGCCGAGTTTTTCAGCTTTCTATGACATAATAACGTTTATCAATTTTTTATTTCTGCAATATTTTTCGAGAAACGAAGGTGACCTTTAATTCTTTAAATGAAATGCTGTGTATTTTTTTATGTCGTATGAAAGCATGTGTCAAGATGAATTCATCAATGTGTTGTAGAATGACCTTCAAGGTCATTTAAGTTCAGAAATGAGAGAAACATTTTGAATATTTCGTGCCAATGTGTTTACAATTTACAAGTATTCTTTATTGACAAGGATACAGTTCAATGTTCAATTTTACTTTCTTGTGCATGAATGCACATTTCAGCTCTATGAATTGCATTTTTGATAGCTTCTGCTAATGTTGTCCGAGATATTATAGCTCATGATTAAGTTATTTTGCTTTTAAAATCGTTTACATCTCTGGGTCGTGTATCGTAAACGATACCTTTAACAGTGTCTGATAAAAAGAAATTCAGAGATGTAGTAGCAGAAGTAACTCTAGCATTTTCTTCTAACATACTTATACCGTTCAATTTTTTGTTAATCAACTTTTTCCTATCTTTAACCGTCTCCGAGTTAGCTCTCAGGGGGTAAAATTTTGAAGGGTGGGTTTACCCGTTAAACTTGAGCTATTACAGCTAAAAAAGATATGTATCTATTACTTTTAGTTATTCTTTTAGCCTACGAAGTTTCATCCAAATTAGCGCCGAAATATTCACAACCCCTCCTTCGAAATTATTCCATTCATTTTGAAAAAATATAAGTCATTCATAGAAGCTATAGATCATTCCTAACCTCAACTTTTTCACGCCTTTTTCCGTCTTAACAAGTTAGCACCTGGCCGAATAAAGAGACCAACCAGAAATATGATGAATACGAAAAGGAAGTCTGAAGGAAACACACGATGACGGCATTCATTGAACCAGTCGGAAACTTCTCCGTGGCCGTATTACCAGACTGCGATAATTTGACCGACTTTGTCGGTCATTCTCGCGGCCTTGATCTTGCCCTTGACTCCAGAACATGGCACAATGTCAGCGAACTCGATTATGTGTTTCACTCTGGTTCGATAAACAACGTAACATGCCTGGAGCACGCACCACAGCTAACGACTGGCACTGTGTTCAAGTTCATCGTTCTAACCATCATGGCGATCCTCAGTTTCTTATCAAACGTAGCGACGATCTACTCGATCACAAGAAATCGTCGCAGGCAGCACAGCTGGTCCGCAGTTTACACGCTGATTTTACACCTGGCGGTAGCTGATCTATTGGTTACTGTGTTCTGCATAGGCGGGGAAGCACTGTGGAGCTATACCGTCGCGTGGATATGGGGAAACATTGCGTGCAAACTGTTCAAATTCCTACAGGTATTCAGCCTGTATCTGAGTACATTCGTACTCGTGTTGATCGGTGTAGACCGTTTCATTGCTGTGAGATATCCTATGAAGGGACTGAACACGGCACACAGATGCTTGAGGCTGGTAATCTTAGCGTGGATACTGTCTTTCACCCTGGCAGCCCCTCAGGTAATGTTTTTAAGGAATTTTTGTGAAATATTTTAGAATAAAATTTACAATGTGAACACGGTTTACTATAGTACAGGAGTAATATTTTTTTCTCTAATTTATGAGTATATTTATGAAAGAAATGTGAATATTTTCATTAGTAGTTAAGATATTCAGCACAATGTGACCCACCATAGGATCTCTATCTAATGATCAATGACCAATCGGCGAATTATTCAGCTGCAACTATAATAATACAAAGCAGTGTAATCAAATGCAATCTACTAGTGGTCTACCTGCTCTAAGCCAGATTGGATAAACTTCCGAAAAGCACCCACACCCGATGACTCTGACTTTGACATACGTTATCAAGATCATCCTCCCGAGTGATCTTCAGAAGGTTTAAACCGCCGATCATTGGTTATTAAAAAGTTGTAAACAAAAAACATGTTAATAATGCTTCAAAGTTGATTAGAGAAAATTTAAGAAAAATTAAATCAGAGTTGGTTAGAGATAGTTCAAAAAAAAAAGGTATCATTATTATCACCACGGACTTTTGGCGGAATTCAACGACTAAATAAGCAAGTATTTATTCAACCAATTTTTTTGGAACTAACTCTAACTAACTCACATCAGTATAACGCTTCGAACAGTATTTTTTAAAACCATTAAATAACTTTTTAATAACCACTGAGCGGCGGCTTACACCTTTTAAAGTTTATTCGGAAAGGTGATCTTGATGACATACGTCAAACTGAGGATCATCGGATACGGATGTTTTTCGGAAAATCACCCATATTTTTTAATTGGTGGACTCAACGAGGCTACTCCTGCGTCTTCCTAAAGTTAATAAAGTAATCTGTTACTGTTGGGAAAATTGCAAGTAAAGGGTAGAGGAAGAACATAGTTAGAATACCAGTATGTTTAAGATGAATACAAAACTACGGTAGTAACTAATAAATTTTTAAATTTCAAAGTCTCAGTAATAATAAAATATGACAAAAATATTTTCAAAAAATGTGCATAGATTTCGACATGCGCTACAAAGTAGAAAATAATTTCTATGTTTATTATTTATGCAGAAATGCAGCAACGGTTAAGAAATCTTATTTTTCTCTTAATAACATACAATGGACTCTTGCTATATTGCAGCTTCCTATATTGCCGCGTGAGGCACTTCCCTAGAACACGTACTTTCACCATTGACAAGATATAGAATAGTCCCATGATCCCTTACCATTGCAGTGTCAACGTCCGACATTACCGATAAAGCATGAATTCTGAGTATTATTAGCACAAATAGATTATATATTCCATTCGGTTGAGTGTACGGGGATAGATTTACGCATACCGTGGTAAACAGAGGAAAACTTTACATGCCTTGATCCGACATTGAAGGAAAGAAAGAATCGAAAGATTTGTGTAACTGATACCTCTTTTCCTTATTGTGTCTACGTGACACTACACGTACTTTCGTGCACAAACGAAGACGACTGGGACTATCAGACGGATACAGTGCTGGAGCGACGTATACATATACAGGGTAAACCACGAATCGTGATCAGTAGAGATGACTCTGTTATTAGCAGTCGGATCGAAAATGTTTTTATCAGGTATAGCATGGTTTCAAGAGAGCTTTAACGTGATTATAGCAAATTTTTTGTCAACTCTTTTTTTTTCATGATTTTTCAAGGTCACCTTAAATTTTTTGCAAATACACCTATAATTTTTTTACGCCTAACACATGTTATGTTATGATACTTACCGAATTCGTCTTGAAATCCTCTAACAGATATGCGTAAAAAAATTATAGGTGTATTTGCAAAAAATTGAAGGTGATCTTGAAAAATCATGAAAAAAAAGATTTGAAAAAAAATTTGCTATAATCACGTTAAAGCTCGCTTGAAACCATGCTATACCTGATAAAAACATTTTCGATCGAACTGCTAATAACAGAGTAACCTCTTCTGATTACTCACCTTCACCCATTCACTCTGTATTCCAAAGTTGATCAAAATTTTTATCGGTGAAACTGTAGAAAAGTTGCCTACCTTCCTATTTGGATGATTTTTGGATATGTTGTAAAACTCAACATTTTGAATAACTTTTTTCTATACACATAACGGGGGGAGATACTTAGTTTCCGAGATATTCGCGAATAACTGCCGGTACGAGCCATTGAATTCTGCCTATAGTTGTGCATCTGTTGCTATGTATGCGTCACTACTGTTGGCTGCCGGCCTTTAGTTTTTGTTTATTTAACTGCAACAGAGTAACGAGTCATTTTCTCAGCGGAGTTATTAACGTGAATGGACGTTTAGTTTCATAGAATTGCAATCCGATTGGTACAATGCTTCAGAGTTGGTTAGACACATTTCAAGCAAAAAAACTCTTTTAAACCAACTCTGAAGCATTATACTAATCGATTTGCAATTCTATGAAACTAAACGTCCGTTCACGTTAATAACTCTGCTGAGAATGAATCGTTACTCTGTTGCAGTCAAATAAACAAAAGCTAAGTGGCCGGTGGCCGGCAACCAACAGTGACGCACAAACTATAGGCAGAATTCAATATGCTCGTACCGGCAGTTTTTCGCGAATATCTCGGAAACTAAGCATCTCCCCCTTTTATATGTATAGAAAAAAGGTTATCAAAGTGTCGAGTCTTACAACATTTCCAAAAATCATACAAATTGGAGTGTAGGCAGCTTTTCTGCAGTTTGACCTTTTTATCTAAATAAAAATTTTGAATAACGAATAAAAGATAAAAAATTTGTATTCGTTATTCGAAGTTCGAATAAAAAAAGTATCTCTTTTCGACGAGCGGCGAAGCAATAAATTTATTTGACGATAATTATCCGACGAATAAAACATACTTTTCTAATTCGAAGCGTTTTATTCGTAGCGTCGGATAATAGTTTCATCTTTTATCTGTATCTTTTATTCGAAGGTAACTTTGGCCAGCACGAATAAACGCGCTAGCGAGCGTCAAGCGTCGAACGTGAAAAACCAGCGACCGATCATCGGCATACAATGGAAGCAGACACAGATGATTTAAGAAATCACGTATGAATGAAAAATGACAGATGAAGCGAAGAGACTCTCCCGATGAAAATGAGTCCTAATTCGAGTGTAGTTGAACAATTTTTACCATACATAATGTTGCGATAAAAATGATATATTATTGAAAATTGTCCGAATGATGTCGTATTTGGACTCATTTCTATCGGGAGAATCTTCTCAGTTCATTCGTGACCCTTTCATGAAAATATATTAATTTTTTACCTGCTTACATTGCACGGTCGCTGGTCTTGGCATCAGCGCTCGACACTTGGCGGCGCGTTTATTCATGCTGGCAAAAGTTATTCGAATATTAACCAGGCTAATCCATTTTCTGGAAAAAATGGAAGCTGGCGTGTGTCATGTATTAGGAAAAGATATATTGAATTAAATTCATTGACACGGGATACGTAATAGATGTATTTTTATTTTTCCTTCCTAAACTATTGTTATCATATGGTCTTCATTAAAACAGGTAGAGGAAATACAACTGCACAATTCTGAATGTAAATCGTTACATGACATTGCCACGTACATACAAAAATAAATTACTTGTAAGTACATACAAACGTTAAAGAATTTCAATGTACACGTAATAATAATACAATATCTTAAATAAATGACAATATTGCAAGAAGTATAACTTATCAAGATGAATATACAGTTGCACTTTTATATGTTTACATAAAGACTGACAATTTACCACCTTATGTAATGCTTTAAATGGTTTGATGATGCCCCTTGGGTTCCTGAAAAAAATAACATATAATATGAACAGCAGTGTTTCTATATGTTTTTGCCTCATAATTTGATATAAATTAATTTCTACAACAAAATTTTCTGATTTACATTCAAGGTCTGACTAAAAACTTCGGAAATTTTATGTATAAATTATTTATTATCAATCTTAACAATAATTATATAGGATTACCGTGAAAGTAATATTCTTCTGTCCTTCCGTGCCTTGTAAATCTTCTTTGCCAGTTTTTGTAAGCGACGTAATAAACGGACGCCGGAATAAAGTTTAGCTCCACCTGCTATTTCTTAATTATTATCTATTGCGTGGCAAAACGTTGTCCTTTCAAGGCCCGTTTAAGGTGAGGGAAGAAGATGAAAATTTCCTAAAATTAAACGTAACTTGGAGGCTAGGATGTAGAGATGAAGCAGTAATCGAGGGTAAAGGCTGAGTCACGTCTGAAGAAAACACGCATGTGTCGCTCAAACGTCAAATCCATTGGCTCAAATGTTGTTTCCTCTCCACACCGTAACCATATCACAAGTATATTTCGTCCCATTAATTTTAAGAACATTTCATCTTCTTCCCTCGCCTTAAATGGGTGCTAAAAGGACTGACATTTTGCTACGCGAAAGAATATAATTAATAAATCTCAGGAGCAACTACACGTAATTCCGGTATCCACTTGCCACGCCTCTTACAGGAACTTAGAAAAAAAGATTTCAAAGATGTATAAGGGCACAAGAAGATTAGAGTGGAACGTTTTCAACGTTACGCAATTATTACAGCTAGCTTCGACAGGTGGTCAAATGACACAGTGATACTGGTGTGATGATTCACTACTACATACAGGGTGTAACAAAAATGTTGTCCGACCCGGAAATGGGGCACTCGGGGGGTGTATTGGAACAAGTTTTTCCTCAACAACAATGTAATCTGAGGCTTCGTTACCGAGATATTAACGAAAAACCCCGACCAATCAGAGCGCGAGTTTGCCAGCCGAATTCCCGCGGTAGCGTTGGCTACAAATCGCAGCGCGCGAACTCGGCTGGCAAACTTGCGCTCTGATTGGTCGGGGTTTTTCGTTAATATCTCGGCAACGAAGCCTCAGATTTGTTTGCTAAGGAATTTGTTGCTAAGGAAAAACTTGTTCCAATTCACCCCCCGAGTGCCCCATTTCCGGGTCGGACAACACTTTTGTTACACCCTGTATAGTGTACCTTGC